GAAAATAAGTAAGTAAGTAAGTAAAGTAACCACATAACAACCAGTATGATGAATGAAATAGTACCTTACATATCATTATTAACAGTGAATGTAAATAGTCTAATGTTGTACTAAAAATATATAGATAGTCAGAATGGATTAAAAAAAAAAAAAAACTACAACCCAAAATGTCTGCTGCCTTCAAGAGACCACTTAACTCACAAAGACTCCTATAGACTCAAGGTAAAGGGGTGGGGAAAAATATTCCACGCAAATGGAAACCAGAAATGAGCAAGAATAGACATTCTCATATCAGGTAAAACAGACTTTAAATTAACAACAGTAACAAAAGACAACGATGGTTATTATATAATGATAAAGGGATCAATCCCAAAAGAAGACATAATATATATGTGCCTAACATCAGACGCCCCGGCTTTAAAAAAAACAAATTTTACTAAACCTAAAAAAAGAAGTAGACAGTAATACAATAATAGTAGGAGACTTCAATACTCCACTGATGGTAATAGACAGATCATCAAGGCAGAAAGTCAACAAAGAAATATTGGAGTTAAATCAGACCTTAGAGCAAAAGAAACTAACAGACATCTATAGAACATTCTACCCCAAAACTACAGATCATACATTTTTCTCATCAGCACATGGAACATTCTCCAAGATAGACCATATAATATAAAATCAAATCTCAATAATTAAAAAAAAAAATCATATTAAGCACCTTCTCAGATCAGCATAAAATAAAACTAGAAATTAACTCCAAAAAGAACTTGCAAAACCAAACAAAAATGTAGAAGGTAAACAATCTGCTTCCAAATGAATCAACAATAAAATCAAGATGGAAGTTAAAAAACACTCAGAACAAATGACAACAATGAAACAAGCTATCAAAACCTCTGGAATACAGCCAAAGTTCTGCTCAGAAGAAAATCTATAACATTTAAAGCCTACATTAATAAGACTTAAAGATTGCATATCAAGAACCCATCATCACACCTCAAAAAATTAGAAAAACACAAGCAACCAAACCCAAAGCTAGCAGAAGAAAAGAACAAACATCAGAGAAGAACTAAGTGAAACTAAAATAAAAACAATATAAAGGATCAATGAAACAAAAATTTGGTTCTTTGAAAAGATAAACAAAATTGTTCGACTGCTGGCTAGATTAATTCAGAAACAAAGAGAGAAGATTCAAATTACCTCAATCAGAAATGAAAATGGAGACATTACAACTGACACCATGGATATTCAAGAGATCATTTGGGACTATTATGAACACCCCTTTGCAAATGAACTAGCCAATCTAGAGGAAATGGATAAATTCTTAGAAATATACCATCCTCCAACCTGGAATCAGGAAAAATTAGAAACCCTGAACAGACCAATAATGAGCAGTAACATACTGACTTACAACATATGTAAGTCAATAAATGTAATCCACTACATAAATATAACTAAAAATAAAAATCATATGATTATTTCAATAGACATAAAAAACCATTTGATAAAACCCAATATCTCTTCATGCTAAAAACCCTCAGCAAAATAGGCATAGAGGAAACAGTCATCAAAATAATAAAAGCTATTATGACAAACACACAGTCAATGTCATCCTGAATGGAGAAAAGTTGAATGAATTCCCCCTTAAAACTGAAACAAGATAAAGATGCCCACTTTCACCACTCCTGTTCAGTATAATACTGGAAGTCCTAGCCAGAGCTATCAGGCAAGAGAAATAAATAAAGCATATTTATATTGGGAAAGAAGAAATCAAGTTATCTCTACATGCCAAAAATATAATCTTATACCTAGAGAATCATAAAGACTCCCCCAGAAGACTCCTAGGCTTGATAAAAGAATTCAGTAAAGTTTCAGGATACAAAATCAATACATACAAATCAGTAGCACCGCTATACACCAATAGTGACCAAGCTGAGAATCAAATCAAGAACTCAATTCCATTTACAATAGCAGCCAAAAAGCTAAAATACCTAGGAATATATTTAATCAAGGAAATGAAAAATCTCTACAAGGAGAACTACAAAACTCTAATGAAAGAAATAGTAGAGGACACAAACAAATGGAGAAATATTCTATGCTTGTGGTTTGAAAAAATCAACATTGTTAAAATAACCATATTACCCAAAGTAATCTACAGATTCAACGCAACCCTATCAAACTACCAATGTCATTTTTTACAGAATTAGAAAAGACAATTATAAAATTCATATGGAACTGAAATAGAGCCAGAGTAGCCAAAGCAATTCTAAGCAAAAAGAACAAAGCTGAAGGCATCACATTACCTAACTTCAAACTATACTACAAAGCTGTAGTTACCAAAAGAACATGGTACTGGTACAAGAACAGAGAGATGGACCAATGAAAGAAAATAGAGAATCCAGAAATAAATTCAAACACCTACAAGCAACTGATCATTGACAAAGCAGACAAAAACATATACTGAGGAAAGGACAACCTATTCAACAAATGGTGCTGGGAAAATTTGATAGATATCTGCAGAAAAATGAAACTTGATCTCTATCTTTCCCCATATACAAAAATGATCTCAAGATGGATTAAAGACTTAAATGTCAGACCTGAAACCACAAAAATTCTAGAAGAAAACCTAGGAAAAATTCTTCTGGACATTGGCCTAGGCAAAGAATTTATGGCTAAAACTCCAAAAGCAAATGCAACTAAAACAAAAATAAATAAGTGGGACTTAATTAAACTAAAAAGCTTCTGCACAGCAAAAGAAATAATCAACAGAGCAAATAGGCAACCTACAGAATGGGAAAAGATATTCACAAACTATACATCTGACAATGGACTAACATCCAGAATCTACAAAGAACTCAAACAAATCAGCAAGGAAAAAAGCAAATAATCCCACTAAAAAGTAGGCAAACAACATGAACAGATATCTCTTAAAAGAAGACATACAAATGGTCCACAACATATGAAAAAATATCCAATATCACTCATCATCAAAGAAATTAAAATTAAAATCACAAGAGACACCACCTTACACAAGTCAGAATCACCATTATTTAAAAAATCAAAAAGTAACAGATGTTGGTGCAGATGAGGAGAAAAGGGAATGCTTATAAACTATTAATGGGAGTGTAAATTAGTACAACCTTTATGGAAAGCACTATGGAGATTTCTCAAACAACTAAAATTAGATCTACCATTTGATCCAGCAATCCCACTACTAGGTATCTACCCAAAAGGAACAGAGATTATTATATACCTGCACTCACATGTTCACTGTCACACAATTCACAATTGCAAAGATGTGGAATCAAGCTAAATGCCCATCAGCCAATCAATGGCTAATGAAAATATGGTAGACACACAAACACACACACCATGAAATACAATTCGGCTATGAAAAATAATGAAATAATGTCTCTTGCAGCAACTTGGATGGAATTGGAGAACATCATCCTAAGTGAACTGACTCAAGAACACACAACCAAACACTGCATGTTCTCACTTATAAGTGGGAGCAAAACTAAGGATATGCAAAGACATAGAGAATAGAATAATGGACACCGGAGACTCAGAAGGGGAAGGGAAGAAAGGGTGGAGGACCAAAAAATCACCTATCAGGTACAATGTGCACAGGTGGGAGTAGTGGGTACACCTAAAGCCCAGACCAAAACTATTTGTATCCCCCAAAGCTATTGAAATAGAAATAAATAAATATAATTATAGCAACAATAATTAATACAAATAGTCTACTCCATAATGGGTTTTTTACACATAACTGCTGAAATAAATTACCTTGTGGGGCAAAAACGTAAGGAAAAATAATAAATAAATTAAGTCAAGGAAATCAAAATGTGAGTTAGAATTCTAGTTAATTGTATAATTAAAGAAATAGATTTGAGAGATACTCAGTAAGAAACAGTGACAGCGGCGAGAGGTGGTGGCTTATGTCTGTAATTCTAAAACTTTGGAAGACGGAGGCAGGAGGATTGCTTGAGACCAGAACCAGCCTGGGTAACAGTGAGACCCCCATCTCTACAAAAAAAGTTAAAAAAATAAAAATAGTGACAGGATCAGTCACCAATATGCAAGAGGAAAAGTTAGCAAATAAGAATGATATAAGAATGATGAAGAAGACAGATAAACGACTAGCTAGTTTTGTTTGTTTTTGTTTTGTTGCTTATTTAAAGGATAGGAATAAAGTGGCACCTTGGAGCTAACCACTGGTCTCCCTCATCATTTTCATCTCATGCTGAAGAGTTTTTGACCCATCTGAGCCTATTTATTAAAAGCAAATATGACCATTAAACCACAACACTGACTTCTCAGTTACCATACCAAAAATTTCATATTTCAAATTTCATGAGGATTATCCTTTACGCATTTTTCTCAGGAAGTTCTGTATTCATTTCACTGGTTTCTATTGCTCAGGATATTTTGCAATGCCTCACATATTTGTATACAAGTTTAGTGTGTCCTCGTGTTTTAGTGTATACCTATTTTGGGGTGAATAGTTAAGCCAGCGTCAAACGTTTTCACCTACTTTGCTATGCATTATCACATTATCTGGCCACTATCTGCAATTTTGCATACCTTTAGTTTAAAAATGACAGTGATGTTGGTGGTGGTTTTTTTTGCAGATGAGAAGTTCACACGTGTTCTACCATCTTCTTCATGACCTGCTGGCACCAACAATGGCGAACATATTGTACCCCGCAATGAGACTAAGTACCATGAAAGTTTTGACCAGAAGGAACCACTGCCAAACTCTTAAAACATACTCAGAACTCACCTTTTATTTTCAATGCTTATGTTATTTCTTTTAGAATTTTCCTATATCTAAATATTTCTGTTCAGAAACTCTAGTTTCTAGTTCCTCACCTTTTATTTTCAATGCTTATGTTATTTCTTTTAGAATTTTCCTATATCTAAATATTTCTGTTCAGAAACTCTAGTTTCTAGTTCCTCGAGCAAACATTTAGTAATAACTAGTAAGGTCTTATAAATACCTTCTGACGTTGTTCCTCCTTCATTTTTTGCAGTTTTTGGTTTTCTTCCTCTTTTACAGAATCCTTATAAACCCAGCTTCTGGCCTGTAAAGATACAAAAATAAAGATTAAAAAGTTATACATAGGAACTAAAAAATAAAGATAAAAAGTATTATATAGGAAAAAGCATCACCCCAGTACACCAACCTGCCTACTGTGAGACTGGTGTTAATAACTCATCCTCCATACTGAGCATACCATGAGCTCTCCATACACACTTTTGTTTATTGAGTAATTTATACATATGTCTGCAGATGTCCCTTGGGATACATAAAAAGGAGGCTAGTGTAAGCATAATTATCCAGCACATTTTCAATGATGATCTAAATGGTTGATTAAGCCTTAAAAATATCCCCTCAGAGCTAAGCAACAGAGTTTATTCCTTTTTGTAGAAAGTCAAAGATGCTTTCAAGAATATTCCAACTAGCTGATCAGTCGATATTAGAGAAAAGCGATAATGACACTGTCTTTAGAAGCACTGAATGCCTACTGCTCATTAATGGTGTCTGATGAAGCAATTTGTCAACTGGTGATTGATACCATATCATCCCAAAGATGCATGACTTTCTAAGTCTTTGGAGTCCTGATCTGTATGACTCTTACTTCTATTTCTGAGAAGGAAAGCATAGCCTGTTCAGGAGCATAAAAGCCTTTGGAGAGCCACTACCTGTGGCAGAATGTCCTTCTGTCTTCCTGACAGAACACAGTATGCAGTGGCTCACCACATCTGGGTTCCACACACTGGCATAGTGACAAAAGAGTCTGAAATTTATGACATTTCAAGTATTCTGTTTATTTGTCATACACTTTCTCTCCCCCACATTGATTTGCAGTCCCAGCCTCTGTAAGGCAGAAAGGTCAGCCTGATAAGCTAATGCTTAGGAAATTCCATTGATCTCATAAAACCATCAGCAGCCTCACAGCAGCAGGCTATATATTTCAGGCCTAGTTCTCGGAACTAATAAGAACCCATAAAGATTATGTAGGCTGGTTCCACTCTTTTCTTTAATATAATTTTTCTCAAGCACTTCTTAGTTCATTCCCCCATTTTTGTCACTATAAAAACCCATACACAGGTGGATGCAGTGGCTCACATGTGTAATTCCAGCACTTTGGGAGGCCAAAGCGGGAGGACTGCTTGAGCCCAGGAATTCAAGAGAGGCTGGGCAACATAACAAGACCTGTCTTTACAAAAAAAAAAACCAAATTTGCAGGGTATGGTAGTGCATGCCTGTAGCAACAGCTACTTAGGAAGCTGAGGCAGAGAATTGCTTGGGCCCAGGAATTAGAGGATGCAGTGAGCTGAGATTATCCCACTGCACTCCAACCTGGGCAACAGAGTGAGGCTTCGACTCAAAAGAAACACACACACACACACACACACACACACACACACACACACACACACACACAATCAAACAATAAGAGCCACTTCCCAGAAAAAGAGAGAAGCTTTTGGAATTGTTCCATCTGTGGCAATGCCAATTAGAACAGTAGAGTTCCATGTGCTCAGAAAGTCCTTATGTATCCAAACCTTGCTACATTAGACAGGTAAACACACATCCTTTGACTTCTCTATGTACATCCTAAATACAAGGGGATTGTGATAAGACATAGAAGGAGGGGAGTGGTTCTCTGGCAACTCCTTTTTACATTAGAGAAGGCTAGACTTCATCACAAAGATTCCACATAAGACCCAGGTAGAAAGGAAAGAAGGGAGGGAAGCAGAGAAGGAGGGAAAGAAGGAAAGAGGAAGAAGGGAAGGGAGAAGGGAGGGAAGGAGGAAGGAAGGGAAGCAGGGAGGGAGGGAGGAATTTTTCTACTCAAAAGATTAAAAGGTAGAAGAAAATAGTCAAAGCAAATATAATGACTTAGGAACCTAAATTCGATTTGAATACCTTCCTTTTAAGCTTATTATTTTGTTGTTCTTTAATTGGAATATAGGTCTCAGAAAAAACTTTATTAATTTAATAATGCTATTAAACACCTTATTATTAAATAAGGTACGATATAAAAGACCACAGAAATTGAGAAGTTACACAGCATCTGAACTATGAAATGTTCAAAGTTACTTGCAATCGTAATGCTTGCTTACCCAACTGTGATCCCTAGGCAGGACAGGAAGTTTCTGTTCAAAAACAATAGAGGGAAAAAATTTTTTTTGATCACTACTTTTCTTAGTTCGAAATACCAGAAGTTTCTAAAGTCATTTTATTTACATAATTGTTCTAACATGGAACATTCATTTAATACAATAGTACTGCTAACTTTTTATCATTCAACTGAAATGCACTTTTATTTACCCTCCCCAATACTATGCTTACAATATATTCATTCAATAACAACGTTCTATGTGCAAGCATTGTTCAAGACATGATCCTACACCTGAAACATTTATATGTGTGGAAGTTCCCCAAGAAGATTAATTATTACAGTGTGGTGTGATAGGTATTATGCTAGAGGAAGCCAAAAAGAAAGACGTTTAACTAGATCAAGGAAATCTGTTCAAAGTGGGTGAGACTAAGTTATGTTTCAGAGTGAGTAGGAATCAGACTAAGCAGGTGAAAGAACATCCTATGAGTAAATTAGAGATAGCAGTATAGAGTTTGCTAGGGCTTCCATAACAAAGTATCACAGACTGGTGGCTTAGAGAACAGAACTTTGCTGTCTACTTGTTCTGCAGGCTAGAAGTCCAGAATCTTCAGGGTTGGTTCCCTTTGAGGACTGTGAAGGAAGTATCTGCTCTAGGCTTCTCTCCTCGGCTTGTAGTAGGCCATCTTCACCCTATGTCTCTTCACACTGTCTTCCCTATATGCATGCCTCTATGTCCTAATTTCCCCTTTTAATAACACCTTTCATGGGATTTGAGCCCACTCTAAGGTCCTTATTTTAATTTATTGCCTCTATAATAACCCTATCTTCCAATATAGTTACATTCTGAGGTGCAAGGGGCTAGGACTTCAACATATAAAATGAGAGAGGGGGACACAATTTAACCCCTGACAAGCCTCAAGTTCTCCTTTCGAGATGGTGGAATAAAGATGTTCCTGCTTCATTCTTCTCACAAAACTTACCCTAAATAGAGGAGAAAAAACACAAACTGTATCCTCAAAAATCAAGAGACACCTGCATTTACAGAGGAAAATCTATGAAGACAAAATAGATGAAGTGGTAAGTGACTTAGAGAGGAGAAAAGCCAAGCTGAAGATTTGCGGGAAGGGGCCAGAGGACACCCATGGGGAGCCAACTCTCCTTGGAGAGCAACATGAGGGCCCAATAAATGGATGCACCAGCTACTGGGGAAGACGGATGGGTGATAGAAAGGTGAAAACAAAAGAATTAGTGGCTCACGCCTGTAATCCCAGCACTTTGGGAGGCAGAGACAAGAGGATTCCCTGAGCCCACAGGCTCAAGACCAGCCTGGGCAACTTGGTGAGATCTCATCTCTACAATAAATCAAAAAATTAGCTGGGCATGGTGGCACATGCTTGTAGTTCCAGCTACTTGGAAGGCTTAGGTGGAAGAATCACCTGAACCTAGCAGGTTGAGGCTGCAGTGACCTTGAGCGTGCTACTGCATGCCAACCTGGGTGACAGAGTGAGACTCCAACTCAAAAAAAAAAAAAAAAAGAATTAGTAGAAAGTCTCAACAGACTTTCACCCTCTGTGCTTGCCACTGCACTGAAAACGCAGGTGCTAATTCACCCAGCCCAATAGGAAATGAAAAGTGTATTTTACAGTTAAACTAACCAGGCATTTCAAGGACAGAAGACACCAATAGTTAAATGCCAAACCGAAAATGAAATGATTTTATAAAATTCTGCCACTGACCAATAAGCCTCCAAGACCCCCTTTGAAGTTTTCTTCTGCTCTCTGCACTGTTTCCTTTGAGAAGTATAAAACAATATTTTTTTAAAGCAACAGAGAAAAAAAAGGAGCTCTTGGAAATTAAAATATTTAGAAGACAGAGTTAAGAAAATATTCCAGAAAGCACCAACAAAAACAAATTAGAGGAAAAAAATACTTAAAAGTAAAAAGCTAGAAGATGAATACAAGAGGCCTAGAATTTGAATAACAGGAATTCCATAAAGATAAAATGAAGGGAAATGAATCAAAGAAATAACACAATAAAATCATCTAGAACTAAAATTTATTCCCAGATTGAAAATTAATAAAAAAATACTCTCCCATCATTACAGAATACCAGAAAAAGAAAAGATGATATTAAAATATTTCCAGGGAAAGCAGGGAAAAGCCCTCATACAAGGCCTGAGATTCAATAGGCCTTGGATTTCTCAGAAACCAAATACTCACATTTGAAAGAGCAACACCTTCAAAATTCTGAAGGAAAATTATTTTCAATTTGCAATCAGCAAAAATGCAAGCAAAGTATGAGAGCTGAATGAAGATAGTTTCAGACGTAGAAGGACCCAGACATGTTTACCTTCTGGGTTTTCTCTTGGGAAACTATTAATAATATTCTCCACCAAAACAAAGAAATAAAACCGGAAAATAGAAGAAATGAGACCCCAAAATCAGGGAACCCAACATAGGAAAGCAATAACAGCAATTCCCAAGATGACTTTAAAACAGTGATTCTCAACCTCGGCTGCACATTAATATCACCTAGGGAGCTTTTAAAACCCTGAAACCCAGACCCCAATACAGCAGGATCTCTGGGGGTGCAACCCAGGCATCAATGATTTTTAAAACTCGCCAGGTGAATTCAATGTGCAAAGAAGGCAAAGAACCATTGTGTTAAAGTTCCAGAACAACAACTCTGCGACAGGCCTATGAACACTAGTGCAGGTTAAAGCAGGAAGTAAAGAGGGATCCAGAAGGAAGGGGAAAAATGGACAAGTTATCTGACAAGCACAAAATGGAAAATTGTGTGAATAATTTCACCAAGAGGCATCTTGCAGAACACTCACAGAAGCTGATGGAAGACAGTCTGATGTTCAAAGGAAATTAAGGAAATGCAAAAGTAATGTATGTTTATAAAGTTTTAAAAGAAAACGTAACCAGAGTATACTTACTGGGTAGGCAGTGAGAAAATATTTACACAGTCATAATAGAGAAAGCCTGTAATACTGAATAATTATATTAGGAGAATGAGGGGAAGAAATGAGTTAATAAGATCTAAAACTGGTTAGTCAAGAGATAGCAGCACATGTTACCAGGTATTCAGAGCTAAATAGCAAAAGCAATAGCTAGAGGAGCATACTGGGCTGAATTATGGCCCCACAAAGATGTCCCCAGCCTAATCCCTGGAACCTGTGTGTGTTACTTTATATGACAAAAAGGATTTTGCAGAAATTAGGGACCATGAGGTGGGGAGATTAGTCTAGGTGGGCTAGTCTAGGTGGGCCCATTGTAATCACAAGGGTCTTTTTTTTTTTTTAAGTTAGAGTCTTACCCTGTTGCCCAGGCTGGAGTGCAGTGGCATGATCACGGCTCACCACAGCATTGATCTCCAACTCTCAGGCAATCCTTTTCTTGTCTCGGTCTTCTGAGTAGCTAGGACTATAGGCATGGGTCACCATACCCATCTAATTTTTAAATTTTTTTGTAGAGATGAGGTCTCACTATGTTGCCCAGGCTGATCTCGAACTCCTGAGCAAGGAATCCTCTTGCTTTTGCCTCCCAAAGTGCTGGGATTATAGGCATGAGTCACCATGCCCAGCCACAAGGGTCCTTGTAAGAGGAAGGCAAGAAGTTCAGAGAGAAAGCAGAAGGTGATATGAGATAGAGACAGAGATTGGAGCAATGCAGCCATGCACCAAGGAATACCAGCAGCCATGAGAAGCCAGGAGAGGCTGGGAACAAATGCCCCCCAGATCCTCCAGAAGATACTAGCCCTACTAACACCCTGATTTTAGCATCTTAAAACTCCTTTCTGATTTCTGACCTCTAGAAATGTCAGAGAATAAATGTGTGTTGTATAAAGCCACTAAATTTATAGCACTTTGTTATAGTAGCAAGGGGAAATACAAGTAGTTTAAAGTATTGAGGTGGAAGTGGCATTGAAGGGACATATATACATTTAAGTGTTTTATTTGACTTTTAAAAGAATGAGCATCTGACACATGGATAAAAATTAGAATGACCAAATTGCACTGAGTGTGGGAGATGAGGGGTAGAGAGGCATGAGCGATAGAGCCTGCCCTCAAACACTAACATGCACACATACACACACATACACACACACACACACACACACACACACACACGTCCCCCACCAATCCCGTTAAATGCAGGCTGTCACTCAGGAGGTCAGTAGCGGGGCTTAGATTGGCCTGCATTTCTATAAGCTCCCTAGGTGATGTCCATGGACTACACTTGTAGAAGCAAAGATTTAGACTTGAGGCCAGCCCTCTAGACCCTAGAAGACCAGAAAAAGGCAGATCTAAAGAAAGACAGAGACAGAACCTAGAATTGAGGGAGAGAGGGATTGGCGGGGGTTAGAAAGGGCTTTGTGCTTAAGTTAAGGCATTTTGACTTGTTCCTTGAAGACACAGGAAACTGCTGAATGATTTGGAGCAGTAGAACACCAGGATGAGATTTTTTTTTTTTAATTGTGATTCTTTGTCGATGAAGTGGTAGCAGCAAACTAGGGACTAGAAACCATTTAGGATGCAACTGGAAATAGTCTATGATAATGGCTGAGAAAGGGAGGATGATGTTGGTACTTCTGCACACACATACACACACACACACATACACACACACACACACACACACACACACACACACACACACACAAGAATACAGGGAACTATATCAATCCATGCATAGAAGTCACCCCTCTAAGTATCTTTTGTCTACAGTCCTAAAACAAAGAGGAATTTTCTTAGACTCTTTTTCACTGGTATAATTTTATTAAATCCCCATCTGCCAATGGCAAATCCACATTTTTTTTTAGATTTAAAAATATAGTTTATTTTAAAAGTAGATTAGAGAGAGAGAAAGAGAGAGAAGAGACTCACCTCCCCAAGATAGGGGAAGGGGCCAAAGCTAGGACAGCAATGATGGCCATAGCTCAATGAGCACATTGCCTATTCAGTGCTTAGCAAAGCAATAGCTCAGGTCCACATTTAAATAAGAAAAGTATAAGAAGAAAAACATCCTCAGAAAAGTTATCCTAGGTAGTAAAATTAAATGCTAAATTCTTCCAGCTCATCACACCCCATATAGATGGCAATCACACAGTGTTCACTCTATATGTTGACCATAGCTAAAATAAACTGTAAGGGCCTTTAAAAAAAACAGAGAAGAAATGTTCATCACAGAAGTGCAATGTACATATTTGATTTTCCTAAAGCATTAGAAATGGTTCTGCAGAGTACTCTCAGAAGGATTCTATGCATATGGATTAGGCAGAATGAAAAGAGGATAATATGGGTAAAAATCCAGTTAGATACATGGAACACTGACAACTTATTAATAGTTTGGTGTCAAAATGAGAGCAGCTATTGCATGCAGTTCACAAGGAACCATCCCGGGTCCAATCCTGCTCCATATTTTCTATCAATAGCTCTGAGGATCATGTAACTAATGCACAAATCAATCCACAGAAAATGCAGCTCTGGGAGACATTGCTAATGCTTTCGACGACAATATTAAAATTCAGGATGTTCTTGTTAAACTGAAGAAATGAGCCAAGATCAATAGAGCAAGCACACACAGTTCCACCAAGTGTTTCAAATCACAGGATTCAGGGAGCCCTCAAACAGAAAGCAAGACCATCCTGGTAGGTGAAATTCCCCCTGGTAAAGCTACCCAACTCCTGTTCTCCCTCTCTATCCCTCACAACCACAAGGATACCCACACAGATGTTTAAGACTGTCATCTCCACATGATTTAATGCCATTACCTATAGATTCTCAACTCTTTTCCCCAGAAAACTGCAATGATGGAAGAGAGATGATATATTTCAGTTGATAAAAATTATGGTGCCCACACTGACAAACATAGACTTTGGAACACCATATTAGAAACAGGAAAAAGATAAGAAACACCTAAAGGTTTGTAGGTAAGACTATAATGACCTTTTCCCAAGGAGTGTAATAACATAGCCCCAGTGAGAAAGGGTTAGAGGGAGACGAAAATGAGTGTTCTCTACAATTTTTTACCTGTTCAAACCGTGGGAAAGCTAAGACTTTGGAAACATAAACTCATCTTTCAGCTACAACCCTTTCCCAGAGTCATCCTTAATTATATTTCTTTCTTGCCTCCAATTAACCAGTCAACACAAGCCCTGCCGCTTTTACCTCCTAAGCAGTTTTCTGACCTGCACGTTCACCTCCATCTCTCCCCTGCTGTCCTGGTTGAAGATGTCAGCATTCCTCACCCAGACTACCACAGAGGACTTAGAAGCCTCTTTGTTCCTTTAGATCCATCTTTTACAATGCTACCAGTGTGATCCAGGGAAAACACAAATCTAACCTTGAACCTTTGGTGTTTAAAAATGTTCAATCCTCACAGAATGAGGTCCGAGTTCTCCAATATGGCATACACATTCACTCCTTCAGAAGTTTTCTTCAGGAGCTCCACTAGCCTTCTGTGCAGGGCATTTCTAGACTTCTTAATGTCTGGGTGGTACTACTAGTATTTTGTGCCCAGCCATCAGAGATGCTGAACATCCCACGGTAACCAAGACACCCAGCACAATGAATGCTCCACTCGAGCTGCCAGTGGTACCACTATTGAGAAAGAGTCCAGTGGCTTCTGTTTACTTCTCCAGTTTTCTAGTTCACTTTTTCTGCACTACAGGTACATAACTCTTCTTCCCTTACACAAGACATGCTTTTTTCTTGCCTTCATACCTAATTATTGCTCTGTGTCTTAATTAATTCTGACACCAGAAATTACTCTCTTCACTTCACTGACTCATCTGCTTAGATGTCATCCCTACCAGAAAGCATCTATACACACACACAGAATGACTTAGATGCTTCTTCCTGAAAAGGCAACAGTACTTTCTAATTGCAGTATGCTCTACACTCACCAGTTTGCTTTCTAACTATTGATGTTCTTCACTCTACTATGGTCTTTTGGTACAGAAACTGTATGTACTCAGTAGGACTTACACAGACCTGAGGACTTGGGGGAAGAAGAGAGAGAGGGATGGAGGATAGAGAGAGGGATGGAGGATGGATGGATGGATGGAGGATGGATGGATGGATGGATGGATGGATGGATGGATGAATGGATGGACGGACAGGCAGATGGATGGCTGGGTGAGATCAGGACATTTCCAAGGCTGCTTTAGGCCAAGTGCCCATATGTAAGTAACAAATACAAGTATTATTTGAGAGCTCAGACAACAGTTGAGATCAAAGTTTCAGATCAGTCACCTGCTTCCAGTTCCAGCACTCTATGCTACACAGATCACTCTACGCCCTTCATCTTTACCCACTAAACACCTCTTTAAAGGGTGCCAGATGGCAACCTAAATGGCATTCCACTTACCCATGTTGAGGATCTGGAGTCACGAGCAGCAATCTGATAGGAACTTCTGTTTGGCAGCTCAGGGCTCAGTCTGCTAAAAAACTCACCAGGTTTGCTACCAAGAACACAAACAGTTGTTAATGCCTTCATAAAAACAGAAATATAACTGCTTATTGTGACTTTGTATACTACCGTAGACTTTATTTGAATGATGACTAAAATTATCCTGGGTAGAACAAAAGGTTAGGATGAGAACAAGGCACAGAAGAAAATCAAAACAAAATGCTGTTGCAAGACTGTGTTCTTGACGAACACTCGTTTCAAAAATACAAAATGAGGTTTGCAAAATCATTTCATTTTGTCCACTTTGTACTAATGACACAGAGATAAATACTCCCTCAGATTCCATAGTGTGGGGCTCTAATTTCCTATCTGAACCTGTAAAGCTTGACACTAAGACTTCAGGATGGAGCTGTGGAATATTAAAGCCCTACCACATCTCACTTCACTCAGTTTTACATTAAGCCCTTTACTCTCTAGGGGTCTTCCTCCTAGCCACTTCATCTCCCTCATGGCCGACTGCTCTCAGGTTACTCTAATCCAGCAAGTCTTTTCCATGAATGGCTCATGGACCACTTTGGGATTCTGAAAGCAGAAATGGACTCTCACTCAACAGACAGATTCACACACCTCTTTGCGTTTCACTTAAGGGAGGTGATGATAAACCTTCCATGGAGGTTAAAAAGTGCTGCTGATTCTGGTCTGCATTTCTGACATCTCTTTTTAACTCAGAAAGATTGACCTAGAAATTTCTTCAGTTTAAATAAGAAATTCTTTTTTCTCCTGTAAAATTCCAAACCACCACGCCAATTCCTCCTCTTACCTATGTCAAGCACAGAACAACTAGAGTTGTTTCTTAGTCCTTACCTCAATGTCTGCCCCATTTTGTCCATCCTTGATTAATTTTATTCCTGTGTCCTTTTCTCGTGTAATTTGTGGGATTTTCACCCCTTTATTCCACACTCAAAAGCACATACCTCATTGAGTACTGATTTCTTTTGCACCAGACTCATGCAGCCTGCGCTCATCGGCCTCCCTCCTTCTGCTACCCCTCTGCTTCTTCCTAATATTTTAAGTTTAATGCTAAGATCTGATTCATCAAGTACTTGGCATGTGGGCATCAAAGGAAACACAGGGTCTGGTAAGAACAAATGGCATCCGGTAGGAGGAGAAAATCAAGGAATTAGAAATTAAACAGATGTCAGCATCACTTCCAATAATAACTTAGATAGAACATGGCATTTGAGCAAGATCAGAAGCTTGAGCTGGGGAAGGAAGAAATAAAAGTGAAACAACATATATAACCCTGGGATACATGAGACTTTGGCCGCTGCGACAAGAAGGCTTTCCATTTGTCTCAGATTACTTATCTTGCCTAGAGTAGACAAGGAGACTAATGAAGTCGCAGAGTCTGGAAGCTGCCCCACTGTCTGTGGTTTTATGAAGTCATCAGTCAAAACTACAAAAAGAAGAGAGTTGTCAGGAGTTTGGATGAGATTTCTGAATATCCTTAGCTGAGGACAGAGCATGGGAGAAAGCAGTGAGAAAAAAAAAAAAACCAAGATAAGCAAGGAAGAAACTTCAGACCAAGTGTGCTGACTGCCCTACCACTTCTCATCTGCCAACGCCAAGCACAAAGCTGGCTGGATAGCTAGCCTCCAGCCATGGTCCTTGTGCCAATTATCACTGCCCCACTCATGCCACAGGATTAAAGGAGAGTGACAGAGTCACAGGACTACCAGAGAAGGGGCCTGAGAATAACATGGATTACTGTCAAATGATCACTCTGCAAACAAAGGAAGTCCCAAGTTACTAACTAATTGGCATTTTTCTACTATTAGCACGAGTGCCTGGCATATAATAGAATTTCCATATCTTGGTTATAGGGAATTGGAATTCCTGTAGGTAACTGTGGTTCTATTTAATACATATAAGATATAGAACCTCTTTGCAAGACAAATGAAAGAAAATACCTTGTGGGAAGTCCAGCTAGACTAAGAACCCTGGACTGCAGCACTGAGTCACCCTGTCCTTAGGGTCTCTTGGTATCTATCACCACTGTGTGAGGGCAATGTCCTCGTCCACATCACTCTGACCCAAGCTTGTAGGATTCCTTCCTTTATTTTCCATAACTGGTTAAACTGGTTTTGAAGACAAAATTTACTCATATCCAGGGTATGATCTTTAAGGATTCTTCCTGCTTTTTCTTAGGGAGATTCCTATGGCTTCAGTCTCTTCAGGTCAGTCTGACCTCAGCATAATACAGTTGACTGCTAAATGGTCATCTCTGCTAATACAGAGTACTGCTAACTGGTTATCGCAATTTATGTTCCTTTCTTCTGCTCACACAAGTTGACTCTATATCCTAGCCTCCCTTGCAGCTATGGTTGACCAGATGACTGAGTTTTGACCAATGGAATATGATAAAAAGTGATACACACCACTTCTTGGACTAACTTATCAGATATTTCCCATACATGTGCCTCCATATGTTTTCCTCCTTCTTGCTTACTGGGATGGTGACAACACCCTAGGATAAGCTGGAAGTTGTATACTGAAAACAGCAGAGCCTCATGTTTGGTCCCTGAATACCTAAGTGGTGAAAGCTGTCTCTCAATTTATGATATGATGATTTTTTTAATTAGCCTATACTATTTGTGAATTCACATACATGTAGTAGAATTAGGAGAACTTGCATCATGAGAAGAAGAGCAACTCCTGACATCCAGGAACTGCTCTGATACTCACATCTAGACCTCAATGTTATTACAAGCTGATCTGATGCTGCAGTTAAGCCTTTTTCTACTGCTGGACATTAACAGTCACATAGAACATCTACTTTACACAAGGTCATCATGCAATCCACAAATTACCAAAGAGTCTCTCCTCTAAATAAATGACTGTTACTTCCGTATCAACTACAGCTTGATTCTCACTCTAGTCTAGTCTGTCTTTCCTATAGGTAAGATTTATTGAGATACCCAATTATGAAATTGTTGCTGCATTCTGATGGCACTCAATCTACAGCAACCCTCTGCTTCCTTAGACCGTTCCCAAAATTACCCAAAGCACAAATTCTATAATAGGTTCTTTCTGACACTTTCTTACTGAGTTACCTCACCATTTTCTATGGTATTCATTTTCCTCTAGTGAGTAATAAACCCAACTTGTGCAAATACAAGTGTGTTCCTAGTGGTTTTTGGCTAAAAGGCAATGACAAGTGTTACATACCAGGACAGTGGCTACTGCTAGGGAAAGAAGGAGGAGGAAGAGATGAGGTTGAAAGGTTAACACTTTAGCTTTGTAATATTTATTTTTTTAATTTAAATTTAAATTTTAAATTTAAATTTGAATTAAGTAAGCAACATCCTCAATGGTTGATGCATATTTCCTGTATGTTTGAAATGTTTCTCAAGTAAAAAGAGAAAAGCTCACACACTATGGTGGTGTGTACTAGGAAAAGACCTGATGCATTGCCATTCTGGATTTCACAAAACCATAGTTTCCAAGATGCCAGTAGGAGGAGCATCCATCTATGGTACTTCCTAGAAATTACTGGACTCAAGCCTTTGACTTTCTAATTCAGCATGTCTGGAGTGGGATTCGGGAATCTGTGTTTCTTAAAAGCACCCCTGGTGATCTTAAGAACTGCTGCAGCACTATAGATGGATATTTAATATGCATAATTATCTTAGGGCTACATGATTCTGACTTATGAATTATTCATGTTATATAACACATTTGGAAATAATACCTCACCATCTTAGGAACTGTCTGTGTAAGTACTATTTAATAATGCAGTCTTCCTGTACTTTGTAATAGCTTTACAAACCTGAACTTTGCCTCCATGAGGTTTATGTGAGTAAGTAATCATTCTTACATTCACACATGCATTCATGCCAGCAACAAACATTTCCTGAGTCTCTGCCATGTGCTTAGCAATATGCATTATAAGACAATCTAAAGAGGTATTACCTTGCCTGAGTCAATTTCACATAACTGGGTATGAACAAAAGACATGCATGTACCCATAAGCACTCACAGAGCCTATGTAAGTAAGACAGTGAGATAAAATGTACTGGGGCAGACAAACATGTCCCATTAAAGGGATCACAAGAATGAAGTAGATGAAATAAAACATGAATATGAAGCAGTAATGTCAGGACAGCTAAGTTTTGTACTTAATTTTAAAAATCAAACTGTCCCATTCACATTTTATTTATTTATTTATTTATTTATTTATTTATTTATTTATTTACTACTTATTGGAATCTCACTCTGTTGTCCAGGCTGGAGTGCCATGGCACGCTGAGAGCCACCTCAGTGTCGATCTGCTGGGCTCAGGAGATCCTTCCGCCTCAGCCTTCCAAGTGGCTGGAATTACAGGCACGTGCTACCACACCCAGTTAATTTTTTTATTTATTTATTGTAGAGATGAGGTCTTGCCAAGTTGCTCAGGTTGGTCTCAAACCTCTTGCCAAGTTGCCCAGGTTGGTCTCAAACCTCTTGCCAAGTTGCCCAGGCTGGTCTCAAACCCGTGGGCTCAGGTAATTCACTCACCTCAGTCTCCCAGAGTGCTGGGATTACAGCCCATTCACTCATTTTAAATGCTTTCCCCCCTTTTTTAACTGGTCCTTAATGCTTTAGCTTTTAATAACAAAAGTAATGCATAAATACAATGTGAGTCAGAAAACAGGAATAGAAAATAGAAGGAGAAAAGTTTCAAGAAAAGAAAAAAGGAAGGTCTTGCTTATCACTCCTCCCAACCTTACTCCTTTCCCCAGAAGATTATACCATGAATTGTCAGATATATATCCTGCTTTCTATTAATTAATAAATATCTATTTAGAATGATATACAAATGAAAGGTGGTTGGCTTTGGGGAAGGATAGTTAGGATAAAGCAGAGACTACCAGCTGTTCTCTGAAATGTGTTTCTCTACCTCCTAGACAAATAGCTAGACTACATTTCCCAGCTCCCACGCAATTAGATGTGGCCATATATCTGCATTCCATCCAATGAAATGTGAGTAAATGTATGGGTCAGGTCTGACAT